ACTAGGATTGTCACAGGGAGAGAAGTTTAACAGTGGTCCCGCATCATGCAGTGTACAGTCTAACTAGTGATTGTTAGAGGGAGAGAAGTTTAACATGTGGTCCTTCATCACACAACGTACAGTCTAACTAGCGATTGTTAGAGGGAGAGAAGTTTAACACGTGGCGCTCCATCATGCAGTGTACAGTCTAACTAGTGATTGTTAGAGGGAGAGAAGTTTAACGTGGTCCTCCATCACACAATGTACAGTCTAACTAGTGGATTGTTAGAGGGACAGAAGTTTAACACGTGGCCCTCCAGCATGCAGTGTACAGTCTAACTAGTGATTGTCACAGGGAGGGAAGTTTAACACATGGCCCTCCATCACGTAATGTACAGTCTAACTAGTGCTTGTTAGAGGGAGGGAAGTTTAACACGTGGCGCTCCATCACGCCATGTACAGTCTGACTAGTGATTGTCACAGCGAGAGAAGTTTAACACGTGGCCCTCCATCACACAGTGTACAGTCTAACTAGCGATTGTTAGAGGGAGAGAAGTTTAACACGTGGCGCTCCATCACACAGTGTACAGTCTAACTAGTGAAACATTGGTTACTAACGTGATATCAGAACGATCAGTATGCTTGATTGTATAATCTATAGTTAACTACTAAATGGCATAGTACAAACTAAGTACTCACATAAGGATCGTAAGAGGAGGAAAGAGGCATTTTAGCTTAAAGTCATAGACATTTTATTTTTTAGGAAAGTCTAGCCTTCGCCTTTGTAATATAACTATTCTCAGGTTTATGTATAATAGTTTTTAAAACAGCCCTAGTGAGGTATGATTTATATATCATAAAATTCCTCTTAATATAATTCCTTTTAATAAACTTTATGGTTGTACAAATATCATACAATCCAATTTTAGAGCATTTTCATCACCCCAGAAAGATCCTCCTGCAGTCATTCTCTGCTCCCACACCAAACCAAAAAAACCAAACCCATTGCTGTCGAGTTGATTCCGACTCATAACAACCCTATAGGACAGAGGAGAACTGCCCCATAGGTTTTCGAAGGAGGAGTTGGTGGATTTGAACTGCTAACCTTTTGGTTAGCAGCCCAGCTGTTAACTACTGTGCCACCATGGCCACCCAAACCCACAGCTAATCTACTTTCTATCTCTATAGATTTGCTTTTTCTGGGCATTTCAGATAGATAACATATGGTCTTCTATGTCTGACTTCTTTCACTTAGTATAATGTTTTTGAGGTTTGTCCATGTTGTAGGAAGGAGCCGTGGTGACACAATGGTTAAGCACTCAACTGCTAACCAAAAGGTTGGCAGTATGCACCCACCCAGCGGCTCTGTGGGAGAAAGACTTGGTGATCTGCTCCTGTAAAGATTACAGCCTAGAAAACCCTACGGGTGATTCTCCTCTGTTATGTGGGGTCCCTATGACAATTTGTCAGTTTGACAGCACCCAACAACAACAACCATGTTGTAGTATGTATCAGTACTTTACTTCTTATTGCCAAAGAGTTGTTTTTCTGGTAAAATTGCTGTTTCTTTTTTGATTTTTTTCTTCTTCAGAATCCCAAAATTCTTCTCCTAGATGAAGCAACCAGGTGAGGATATCTTAATAATATATGTAATTGTTTTAAAACAAATTCTTCTCTCACCAAAAACTTTTTATAGTATAATTCAAGGTGATACAGCTGAAAATGCATTTTCCCCCTTACATTTTTAAAAAGTTATTGCATCTGAATTAAATATGAAATTTGGATGGTAGTAGACAGATTGAGTCATATTGGAGGGCTCTAGTTCCAATTCAGACATGCTTTTGATGAATCCTTAACCACTCTGTAATCAGCAAAGGTGCAGAATGCTTTTCTACTTACATGACAGTTTTATGAAGATCAGGGAGTCCCAGGCTTCTTTTTTATAATATCTTCAACCCAAGAAGTTGAAAAATCTTGACCATAGTAAAAATTCACTGTTATCGAAGGGCCACTGTATATGTAACCGGAAATACATGAGTGTATAGTGTGCGTGGCACTGACATCTTTGTTTTCTCGTGTTGCTTTCATGCAAAAGTGCACTGGATGCTGAAAATGAGTACCTTGTACAAGAAGCTCTGGATCGGCTAATGGAAGGAAGAACAGTGTTAATTATTGCCCATCGTCTGTCCACCATAAAGAATGCTAATATGGTTGCTGTTCTTGACCACGGGAAAATTACTGAATGTGGCAAACATGAAGAACTGCTTTCAAAACCAGATGGAATATACAGGAGATTAATGAACAAGCAAAGTTTTATGTCAGCATAATGAAACCATTACTTGTAAATTGAAATAAGAGATTTTAAAGCAAAACAGCATTGCAAGGAAAAAAAAACTTGGAGATTTTATGAAATCTGTAACCAAACTTCAAGTTTATTTTAAATATACTTATTTTTTTCCAGAATGTATATTGTTTTGAAATATACATGTCCTCGAGACCTTTTTATTCAGAGTTTTAATAATTGTAGCTTTCTAAATCTCTGTAGCACTGGAGTTATTTTCAGGTTTTGTATTTTATCTTGGAATACTGTGATTAATATAGCATGACATCTTGATTTCTTTTGCCTGCTGTTATAGATTGAAACTTGTCAAGTGACAACTTTTAAGAGGGAGTTATAAATAAAAAGCCTAATTATTTTAGGCCAGTTTACTAGTCACTGTATAATTCTCTTGGTAGAGTTCTGCCTACTTTGTGACTAATTTTACTTGGTAGACATAAAGTTTGCTTGTGTCTAATTTTCATACAAGATGAAAATCTAGCCCTGTTTTTAAATCATGATAATCTCATAAAGTGAACCTAATTAATATACAGAAATAGTTTACATCATATAGAGAGAAGGGAAAATTTATATTGCTAGTCTGTGACTTAAAAGGTATGAGAGTTGAGGAATATGTGTTAATACAGGATGTGATTGTATTTGAATGCGTGTGGTTTTCAACATTTCTGGTATATGTGATCCTGATGAGTTTTTAAAAAGGGAAGAAGCCCCATCCTTCAAACAGGAAAACTTCTTTTTTCTTTATTCATATATATGCTTCTCTGAGTACTTTGGGAAGCAAGGACTGAACTGCTAGGTATTATCAAGAAAGATGGATAAGAATTTACATTTAAAATTAATTTAACATAAAATTAATTTTACATAAAATAATTTTACATAACATTATCTTCTAAAAATTTATAATTCCCAGTCAAATTGCGTTTTACAGCTTTTTGTCAGTCATTTAAATAGTTTTGAAACTTCACTCAATGAAGCTAAAATCTGAATCATACAACTTTAATTTTCAACCTTACAACATTTGGAGAAAGTTTAGACGTTCTTGCTATTCCACAGAATAACAAGAAACCTTAAGAACTTATTACTGTCCAGAAAAGACAATATAAATAACTCATTTTCTTGTATTTATGGTTATAGTTTTATTTGCCTGAATGTCTCAAAATCCCTAAAGCAATGCTGACCAACCAGTGAATTTACCCTATTCCGTAGCAGTGCTGTTAACTTGCTGTCGCCTCAGGAAAAAAAGTGCCTTTTCTTCATTGATGATGCCAGAACCCGAGAAGTAATTATGTTTATGTAATTAAAATGAAAGTTTTCCCAGGTACTAAAGAGCTCTGAGGAGCCCTAGCGGCTTAATGGTTAAGCATTCAGTTGCTAACCAAAAGGTCAGTGGTTCAAATCCACCAGGCACTCAGCAAGGTAAAAATGTGTCAGTCTGCTTCCATAAAGATGACAGCCTTGGAAATCCTGTGGGACAGTTCTCCTCTGTCTGTAGGGTCGCTATGAGTCAGAATCAACTCAACGGCAACACCTTTGGCTTTTTAGTTTTAAGTTTTCACTTGTTCCCTAATTGTACTGGCAGAGGAAACCACTATTTCATGATAAGCACCAAATTATTTCATTCTACATAAGGGAATTTATTAATGAATAAAATGAATTCAAAGAATGAATTCAGTGTTCTTTGTATTAGTAAACAGTACATTTGTGGTGATCATTTTAATAAGCTCTACTTGTATTCTTCATCCAGTTTACTATGATGGTATGGTTCTCCAAAGGCAAACAGCACAATTACGTGGCTGATTCTGGGAATTCTCTTTGTGCCATAGAAGTATTTGCAAACTGAATTTGATCATTATATATTTTTTTCTAATACGAGATGTTCAGTTGTGTTTTTAAGGAACATTTTATATCATGGATTAAAATTTATAGTGAACTTCATTTGTGTCTGCCACTTGTAAAAATTTTTTACGACATTCACTTGCTTACTAGAATTTCAACTATGGAGGTTCAAGAATAAAGAAAACAATAGCATTAAAAAAAAGCATTACAAATGTAGAAGTGTGAGTAGTAATTACAATTTCCACTGCTTTTCTCCTTGTCTGAGATTGTTACTGTCCTCATTTGTTTGCTATTTGTAAACATTCTGTTTAGTTGCTTCAATACAATGAATATCAGCTGCCCCCGCCTTGGACCAAGAACAGTACCAGGTGTTGTGGAGTTGATGACAGATGGTTAAAGGCATATTCTCTCAAGGAGCTTATAGTTTAGAAGGAGAGTTAAGGCAGGTAAAAATTAGTTAAATGTAGTGCTGCTAACACTGTGTGCTGGTACCACTTTTTGTTTCCACAGTGTCTGCACATGTCACCACATTTGGAGCTCTGGACACACCTGTCATTTAGACAAGTGCCTGTCATCCCCACTTCACAAATGAGGAAACAAGCATAGGGACGTTGTAAATTAACTCAGCATTGATGATGTATTCAATTTGAGGCAAGGAGTAGTGGAAGGAGATATTAGAGATAGGCAGGAGCCAGATCCTGGCATGCCTTCAATGCCATGCTGACAGGTTTAGCTTTTCTCCTACATGCATGGAGAGCCAATGGTATGTATGTTTTCTTTATGATAAATACAAAGTTCATGTAGGCATTTAGAAAATAAGTAAGCCAAAAAAGAAGAAAATATAAATCACCTGAAATCCTACACGTGAAGATAAAACTGCACATTCTTCTTAAGTTTTTTTATTGTAGTTTAAGTGAAACTTTACAATTCAAGTTAGTCTCTCATATAAAAAGTTATACATACATTGTTATGTGACCCTAATTGCTCTCCCTATACAGGGACAGCACACTCCTCCTTTCCACCCCGATTTCCTGTGTCCATTCAACCAGCTCCTTACCATCTCTGCCTTCTCATCTCACCTCCAGACAGAAGCTGCCCATTAGTCTCATGTATCTACTTGAGCTAAGAAGCACATTCTTCACAAGTATCATTTTCTGTCCCATAGTCCAGTCTAATCTTTGTCTGAAGAGTTGGCCTTGGGAATTTAGTTCTGGGTTGACAGAGAGTCCGGGAGCCATGCCTTCTGGGGTTCTCCAGTCTCAGACCATTAAGAGTCTGGTCTTTTTTACTAGAATTTGAGTTCTGTCCCCCACCTTTCTCCTGCTCCATCAGGGACTCCATTGTGTTCCCTGCCAGGGTGGCCATTGGTGGTAGCCAGGCACCATCTAGTTCTGGTCTCAGGATGACACAGTCTCTGGTTTATGAGGCCCTTTCTGTCTCTTTGGCTAATACTTCCCTTGTGTCTTTGGTGTTCTTCATTCTCCTTTACTCCAGGTGATTGGGATGAATTGATGCATCTGAGATGGCTGATTGCTAGGTTTTAAGACCCTGGACGCCACTCACCAAAGTAGGATGCAAAACATTTTCTTAATAAACTTTGTTATGTCAATTGACCTAGATATCCCCTGAAACCATGGTCCCCAGACCTACCCCTGCTACTCTGTCCCTTGAAGTGGTTAATTGTATTCAGGAAACTTCTTAGCTTTGGTTTAGTCCAGTTGTGCTGACTTCCCCTGTAGTGTGTGCTGTCCTTCCCTTCACCTAAGGTAATTCTTAAATACTATCTAGTTAGTGAATAACCCTCACCCTCCTTCCCCACCCTCGTAACCATCAAAGAATGTTTTCTTCTGTGTTTAAACCTTTTCTTGAGTTCTTATACTAGTGGTCTTATACAATATTTGTCCTTCTGTGACTGACTAAATTCACTCAGCATAATGCCCTCCAGATTCCTCCATGTTATAAGATGTTTACGGCTTCATCGTGGTTCTTTATTCGTTGTGTAGTATTCCATTGTGTGAATATACCATAGTTTGTTTATCCATTCATCCGTTGATGGGCACCTAGGTTATTTCCATCTTTTTGCTATCGTGAACAGTGCTGCAGTGAACATGGGTGTGCATACATCTGTTCGTGTGATGGCTCTTATTTCTCTAGGATATATTCCAAGGAGCGGGATAGCTGGATCATATGGTACTTCTATTTCTAGGTTTTAAGGAAGTGCCAAATCGATTTCCAAAGTGTACCATTTTACATTCCCACCAACAGTGTATAAGTGTTCCAAAAACTGCACATTCTTGACATCAGCATTTTGTTGCACATCTAGGCTCGTCTCTAGGTACACAAGTCTCCACTGACCTTGCACCTGACAGTTTCCCAGGAAATAATCACAAGTGAAAGAACTATAGGCCAAATGCTTGTAAGTGCACGTTTATGAAGGAGGGCTTCACTTTGGGAAACCCATATTATTCCATAAAAACGCCTGAGCTGATCACAAAAATAAATGCAATTGTTACAAACTAAGTATATAAATGAAAGAAGTACGTGAAAACGACATCGTAAATGTTCCTTTGATGGTGTTTTTTCTATACCTGAGGCATCATAGCATTTCCTGGTAATCTCCACATATCAGTTCAGTCAAACATTTATTGAGCATCTTCTATGCTGGTAGGTCCTGTGTGAAGCGCTGGCTGCCTCCCTCGCGGAGCCCATGCAGGGGTCACCAAACTGGCCTGCTGCCTGGTTTTGTATGGCCTGCAAGCTAAGAATGGTTTTCATATTTTTAAATGTCTGAACAAAATCAAAATGATAGTTAATAACATTTGAAAATTATATGAAATTCAAATTTGAGTGTCCATAAATCTAGTTTAATTGGAGTACAACTATGTTCATTTCTCTGCCTATTGTCCGTGGCTGCTTTCACTCTACAACCACAGAGCTAAGTAGTTGTGACGGACAGTGTATGGCCCACAAGCTGAAGATATTTACTATCTGGCCCTTTATAGAAAGTGTTTGCTGAGCCCAGAGCTAGTGAAAAAAAATAATACATCCTTTTAAGCTACATTGAAACTTAGAGTCATCACAAAATTTTTCATTGCCAATTAGATGAATGCCCCTGAAAATGATTGGCGTGAGTTCTTCAGCATTCTTTTGCCTTTCCATTTTAATAATATCTTAATTACAGAGCTGCTGTGAATGAGATTCTGACAGTTCTAGGACATCTGCAGGAAGTAATTCTGACTACTTTCTTGTTATTGATTGCAGTGATTAGTCTTACATAAATCAAAGTTTGGTTTTCACTAACCAAACCAAACCAGCTGCCCTCGAGTCAATTCCGACACACTGCCCCATAGGGTTTCCTAGGCTGTAATCTTTACGGAAGCAGACTGCCACATCTTTCTCACAGAACAGCTGGTGGGTTCGAACTGCCAACCTTTCAGTTAGCAGCTGAGAGCTTAAAAAGGGCTTCTTGATCTTCATTGAAAGGGCTGTATTTCGATGAAGGCTGTACAGAGGGGAAGCACATCTAAAAGTTGAGCCATAAGTCAGGCATCTCACACACACATGCATGTATACCTGAGTCTTTTTTTTAATATAAAAATGTACATACTATTTTTTAATCAGTCTGCTTTTTTTTACTTGACTACATAAAGAGTATTTTCCTATATCTGCAAGTATTCATTGACAAACCCACACGTAAATTCTTCTGAAGCATATAGCATACCATTATGTACATGTACATTATTTAATAAATCTATAGGTGGACATTTAGGTTACTATCTTCTCTGCTATTATAAACAATACTATCTATATACCTTTGTAATTTCTTAGATTTTTTTCAGACAGATTTCTAGAAATGAAATTGCCAAGTTTAAAGAACATATGCAATTATAAGGCGTTTTGTACAAACTGTCTACTTAAAAGATTGCACTAATTTATGATCCCACCAGAAGTGTACACAAGCAGTGCCTGTTTCCCCACAGTCTTTTCAACGTGAGCTATTTTCTTTTTTTTAATCTTTGCTAATTCAGTAGACAAACAATTCTGATGGTCAGTTTAATTTGCATTTCTTTAATGACTAGAACAGTTGAAAAATCTTTTCATGTGTTTTGGTAATTTTTGTTCTTTAGTGCCAGGTCGTGCCTTTAAAACGTTTCTGTTTTTTTCTATTGGAGTAGCTTTCTTTCACTTACTGTTTTATGTTTTGTTTTGTTTTTTTAAGAGTACTATTTTGTTGGAAGTATTTTTTTCTTCACCTTGCTTGCCTTTCTATTATGTTTGTATTTTTTGACATGCAGAAATGTAGTCAACTCTGTATTATCTAATTCTCATAACAGTGGGTACTATTATTTGTCATTTTACAGATGAGATAGTGGAGGCTTAAAAAGGTGACAAAGATAGTAAATAGCAGAGGTGAGATTTGAAGCAAGTTCTGTTTAATTCCAGAGTCTATGCGCTCTCTTAACCACTACACCAGTGGTTATCAAAATACGCTCCCCAAACAGCAGCATCAGCGTCACCTGGGAACTTGTTAGAAATGCAGATTCTCAAGCCTCAGTACAGACCTTCTGAATCAAACTTGAGGGTGGAGCCCAGAATTCTGTTTTAGCAATCCCTCCAGATGATGCTGATGCATGTTTAAGTTTGAAAACAACTACAGTACACTATGTTTCTAGCATAGGTGACTACACTAGATAAAATAAGATAAAGTAAAACGACCAGCCATTAGGTAAAGGATGGTGTAGGAGAGTAGTAAAGAAGCATTGGTATTGCCCCATGGTGTACATCCTGAGCATCTTGTTCCACTTGCCACCCTTCTCCACTTCATACTCAAGGAGGCTGACTAGTGTCCTCCTCCCTCAGACTGGCTTCTGGGTGGGTTCAGCCATTTGGGGGCCCACAAGAGATGACTGGAGGACAGAAGGAGAGTGAGGCCACAGTACTTACTTCCCTGGATTCCTTCCTGCTGGACTGCCAAGGATTGGCCATGGCTTCTGCCAGAGGTCCTTGTTTCCAGGTTCTAGTAACCACTCCCTTCTTTGGCCCATTGTAGTTATGAGCCTCAGGCTCTACACTATCCCTAAAAGTCCTTTATTAAATTC